TACGATGTCACACGAGCAACAAGCGAATAAAGGTAACGACTGCTAAGCATTGCTAAGCATTTCTGATACGTAAGAATCCAGAGTATGGCTGAGCACGAATGACGATCGACATTTATTATTATTAGCATTGAATCTTCAAATGTTCTACCGTGGACTGAGGACACACGGAGCATGGCCAAGGAAACCTCGCTTGCATCGTGCCAGTTGTCTTCGACTCATGCAAAATAGAAGCAGTGGTTTCGACCAGAAGCTCCCTGGGCTCAATCCTCTTGCGTGCGCGAGAGGTGGGCAGGTATTGCAGTCGCGAGTGGGACTTGACGAAACATTCTGCTGGATGGGAACTATGTTTCATGTGGCGCATTAATCGAATATTATTAAATCATGCATGTTGGTTCGAGGTCTGATCATGGGCTAAAATGCTCGATGATCTGAGCTGACAGCCTTGCAATGTAAAAGCTCCCAGTTTACCTCCAACCTGAACGCATAGTGATGTACTTGCGACATCACGGATAATCTCAAGGCATGACAAACGACCTACAGAACACCAGTATCAATAATTGAAATCAAATGATGAAGAAAGGCAGGATAATGACATAGCAAACAATCCTACAACGTTGAACATACCATCATTGTGAACTGGCTGCTATTAGCGCAGATGCAGGAAATGGGCATCTCACACGAGGCACCTTGCCCTTTTACAGGTGACTGGCAGGAACGTGTTTGAAAGAGCGAAGCTCACTGGTTGATGAAGAAGGCCGATTTGATGTCCAGATGCCAAGATTCCACTAGCTGTCGTCTCCGCGTTAAGCGCTTTTTGGTTACCTTAGTTGGATTCCGGCATGCGACTCATGCGAGGGATGGACATTTGACCACGAGGCAGTCTCAGCACAAAGTTATACCGAATGAATTATTATTTATAATAATTGTGATACACAGACAGAAGCAAGTGGAGCTGGAGGGCAATGGAAATCGTGTGTATCACTACCTTTGATACTCTCCGCACTCCCCGACCATAAGCCAACTAGCCATATTCGAGGTACTGACTTGGTTACTTCTCGTCCAGTGTAACACCAATCGTCAGACCGACGTAACTTAGACAAGGATGAAGTTTTTTTTAAAAAATATTTCGATCCCGACTGACGTCGAAGTTGACATCGATTCCTGTCAATATTTGACCATACCGGCACTACCTAGTAGATATCTACTTACTCCGTAATCCATGTCTCAGGATATTAATTGCGGTCAATATCCGTAATGTCCTTATTGATGTAGTCCACGGTTACTGACTGGCGTGACCGCTCTCATCCTCTGCAAGCGGCGTTTCTGTCCGGTTGTGGGGCAAAGAGAAAATGTGGCATTGAACTGTTTGATTGGTCAGTACAAGGACCAGAAAAATGCTTCTAGAAGGCGGTGAAGGCCGAGCTGGGTTTTCAGAGGACATTCTGCCACCACGTGCATCGATGATTGGCCAGCGGAGGCTGGTCGCCTAGTATMTCGTCCCGCTTTCCGATCCATCAGGCAAACCCGGTTCAGCCGCTAACTTTCAATTTAGCTTACAGAGTTATTGGAGTTATTGTTAAACTCGGAAAAAATAAAAAGAATAAAAAATCCTTCTGTGGAATTTTCGACCAATTATGGTATGAATTCGGACAGTAAAGAGAGAGGCAGCCAATCCCAATGGCCCTCGCCGGAGGGACCCTCCAGCCAAGATTAGTAGTAGTTCGGCCGTTCTAACAAACTTTCGTGGCCGGAGTGGTCCCTCTTTCTAGCTTGGGGCGCTATGGAGTTGTCTGATGGTTGATTGCCTCTCGACTTCGAGTGCTGGCTGCCGTGGAACCCGCCACTACTCTGGATCTGCCCAGACCTTTCGTCGACTTATCACAAAGCGGGAATTGCGCATGTGTCGGAGGCGATCTCTCGTGCTGGCCGTCATCTGCCTTTCGCTGAGAATTTTTTTCCCTTCCATCAGCGGTCCGCATATAAGATTCATCAAGCCCGTTCGACTTGGCTTGCATTGTGCAACGCCTTGCAATCTCCTTTAGTCCTTCAAGGACGTTTTAAGCGTCTGCCACATTTCTTGTCGTGAAGGCTAAGCTCTCCGTCAGGCTCTCGGATCTCTTATCCTTCAGCAACTCGACGAAAGGATGGCTGACTTTGGCCCACGTGCTCCTCATGGGCCCGATATGACGGGAACCCATGACCCTTTGGAGGACATGGATGTTCATGAGAAGGGCGCCTTCGATGCTCTCATTCGTCCGGATGACAGCTATACTCCGGATGGTGTCTACTGGGCTGATCTTCCCCTGCTCAAGAAGATCAGGTTCGTTGGTTCCTACGATGCCAAGGAAGCCAAGCGTGAGCTCAAGGGCATCTGGGATATGACCAAGAAGGACCCTCTGTCCCCTGTCGCTTACTATTTCCGGAACATGGTACTTCCTGGTGCTGGTCTTGGTCTGGAAGGGTAAGTGTTCCGCCTCGTCAAAGCAGACCGATCTGCGGGGAAGGGTCAATGCTAACAGCTGGGTGTCTTGTGCGATTAGTTATGTGCTCTTTTCGATCGGAAACGTCAAGCCGCTCTTCCAAGCCGCTTTCAAGTCGTGCTGGAAAGACCACAAGATTTGCAACGCTCAATGGATCAACGCCGTTGATTACCTGGAAATTGTCGGTATCATTGTTGGTCAGATTCTGGTCGGAGTTCTCGGTGACTGGTGAGATATCTCTACACTCGTGATATTCTTGGGTGGAAAGTTGTGCTAATTGGGCTATTAGGATTGGCCGTCGCTGGGGTCTTATTCAAGATGCCACTATTATGCTTCTCGGTCTGGTCATGCTTGTCGCCGCCTGGGGTGTCAACCAGAATGGCTGGGTAATCTGCTATGCTTGGTCTCTGTTCATCTACGGTGTTGGTGTTGGTAAGTTTTCCTATTCTCTTGGTCTTCTTCTTCCGGGTGCATGTTGTCTGACCTGCAACAACAGGTGGAGAATACCCAATGACTGCCACCAGCGGTATGGAAAATGCCGTTGGCTCTGGAAAAGTTTCCACCAAGGAGGATCGTCTGCACCGTGGTCGCAAGGTCACTAGCGCTTTCTTGATGCAGGGTTGGGGTCAGTTCTTCAACCAGGTCATCCTCATTATCTTACTGCTCTGCTTCCATCATGGAAGCGGCAATCCTCCCTACTCCAGCGTCGCCGCGCAGTGGACTTACCGTATTTCTTTCGCTATCCCTGCTGTTGGCACCCTGTGGCTCGTCTACTACCGTACCTACCACATGAAGGCGGCTAGCAAGCAGCTCGCGGCCGCTAAGAAGAAGGCCTCGGTTACTGGCTATGATGTGACCTCTTTGAAGCTGGCCTTCTCTCACTTTGGTTTCCGTATCTTGGCTACCGCTGGTGGATGGTTCGCCAACGACGTCTTCTTCTACGGTAACAAGCTCTTCCAGAGTGAGTTCATCTCTGTGATCAGCCCCCATTCTACATCGATTATGCCGACCTGGCTCTGGAATCTGGTCAACGTCGGTGTGTCGCTGGTGGGTTACTACCTTGCCTCCTTCCTTATCGACAACAAGCTCTATGGGCGCAAATGGATGCAAATCGTCGGTTTCATGATGGATTTTATCCTCTTCATCGTTCCCGCTTTCCATTTCAAATATTACTCATCGCCGGCGCACATCAAGGCTTTCCAAGCCATGTACTTCCTGAGCTCCTTCTTCAACCAGTTCGGTCCCAACTCGGTCACCTTTTTGGTTGCTGCGGAAGTTTTCCCTACTCCAATTCGTGCCACAGCTCACGGCCTGTCTGCCGCCGCCGGTAAGCTGGGTGCTCTGTTGGCATCGGTTCTGTATAACTATATCGACACCCAGACCAAGTTCTACGTTGTACCTTGGTTCGGTCTGGCAGGTGTGGTCCTGACTTGGCTTTTCCTTCCCGATACCACTGGTCTTGACCTGAAGGAGCAGGAGCGTCGCTGGGCTTTCATCCGCTCTGGTCGTGAACACGAGTACCATGGTCCTGCTGTTCATTCCAAGCACTTGTCCGTCTGGGAGCGCCTTCGCGGAAAGGGCAAGTACTACGATGCCGAACTCGACTACAAGCAGAAGGTCGAGGAATTCCGTGCCGAGTGGGAGGCAGCCATGGCCCGCAAGGGCTCTGAGAACGAAAAGGGAGAGGATCTCGCGTTCGACACTGACGAGTCTCTGCTTGAGGGCCATGTCCACTCTTACTTCCACCGGACCAGCCCCATGTTCCGTGGTATGGAAGACAAGCCCACCAAGTCAGATAACTTCGCCCTGCCCCCTGCTGCACAAGAGGGTGACTCGACTGATTCTTTCAATGAGAAGTCACAGCATTAGAACGCCACCACAAATTTCACTTCTCTGAAAATAATTCAGCTTGTATATTTCATTTACTTTCTTTTTGGGAAGGATCTCTCTTCTCTATTTCCTGTTCCAGGGGCGGAGACTTTTTGTTTGCTTCAACTCATACATACCCTATCGCGTGATTGTCGCTTGGCACTGTTGGATTAATGTTCTCATACCCTTTTCCGGTTCAATGTCTAGACCACTGAACTGGTTATCAACTCTGAATAGATCTAAATTCCCGTCTAGAAACCCACTTGGGCATTGAACTTCTAGCGACTCTTCTCACTTCATGATACGTATATTCTAGTGATCGATTCTCTGGTCGGTCTTGTTCTAGAGTAGTGACGATCGTCGCGCAGTAAACTTGCGGAATCTTCAATCATACATGACTTCCAGAAGGGAAATACGTGCTCTACTCCATTATTCGATGAATTCTGCCAGTCAATAAGAAGGACTAGTGCGTTAATAGTAGGCGCTCAAGGAGGCGGTGGGTTTAATTGCTGTTTACACTTTGGAGTATACCAATCGTAGTCTGGACTTCAACACTTCTGCATCGGCCAAGGTTCTAGAATACTGTCGCCAATCAGACACTTATGCGAATGCGATACTCAGCCACTGCCGGTCAAATTAAAGCCATCTAGCATGCCGCTCTTTGCATTTGGCTCGAACGGATCGGGCCAACTGGGCATCGGACATGATGAAGACGTCTCTGTCCCTACTAGATGCCTATTTGAAGGAGATCAGACACCTTCTGAGGAGGGAAATGGCACCCAGGCGAAGAATATCTCCCGTATCGTTGCCGGGGGAAATCATACCCTCATCTTGTATCAAGACGGATCGGTATATGCCGCCGGCTGTAACGAGGATGGCAGATGCGGACACAACCCCGCAACTGCGTCGCTGCAGATGTTCAAGCGGGTGATTGTCAATAGTGGAGATGATGGTACTTTCTATAGGACGTTCAAGCACTTGTCGGCGACCTGGGAGGGGACGTTCCTGGTTGCTGGATCTGAGGACCCGTCTGGTGAGGCGGACAGTATATTTGCGATTGGTTCCGGATCGAAGGGAGAGCTAGGACTTGGACAGGGGTGCACGAAGGCCATTGAGCCGACAAGGATCCCTGATTTTCCTCCTCAAGGGACAAAAATTGTGTCGATTGCCAGTGGTATGGGGCATACGGTTGTGGTGTTGTCGAATGGGGAGGTTTATGGCTGGGGAGGAGCAAGGAAGGGTCAACTTGGAGAATCAGCCAGGAGCATGAAGATTGTTTGGCGTCCTATAAAAGTGGAAGGAATTTCCTTCCAAGCCAAGGGTGCAGTATGTGGTCGCGAGTTTACAGTAATTTCGGGCAACAAGGCCGCGGGGGAATATGCCATTATTGGCTCATGCGATAACAAGTGGAATATCCTGTCTGATGCTCCTGCATCCCAATCGTTGACAGACTACCGAGGTATAGCAGCCAGTTGGCATGGTGTCTATGTACATCAGAACGAGTTTTCTGTCACCGCCTGGGGACGGAATGATCGAGGCCAGCTTCCTCCTCCGGATCTGCCTCGGTCTCAGAAACTGGCTGTGGGAAGTGAACATGTTCTCGCACTTCTTGATGAGCACACTGTTGCGGCATTTGGGTGGGGTGAACACGGCAACTGTGGCCCCGATATCGACGCGCAAGGCAACGTGAATGGAACGTACAAGCAAGTTCCGCTTGAGATGCTTCAGGGCTTTAGGGTTGTCGGAATTGGTGCAGGCTGTGCAACCAGCTGGATTATAACGTCATGATCACCCTGCAACTTGCGAAAGCCAGGAAACGTGATGACTGGTTGAGTCAACTTGCAGACTGGATCCCGTGTGATCCACCCGGTGGACTTTGAAATTGACGGCAATGGACATCAACAATCTAATCGAAAAGGCCAAGACCACGAACCTGCTGATTGTTAGCTCGTCCTTTCCTTTGACAAGAGCCATTGACCAACCTGTGAGATGCGTTGTGTTGGAGGAATGCCCATTTCTTCCTGAGGCTCTTGCTGGTTTGAGTCATGTGGCAGAACGCGTTCAGTGTCTCGCAAGCGAGGCCCAAGGCTTGCATTGAATGTTTCCTGGAAAGCACGATCAATGATTCCCCTCCACAATACGGCCTCGAAGCCCTTACCTGATCAGCTGTAGCGTCCCAGCCAAGCGTGTCCTCAGCCATAGTCTCGTCCTCCTCATTCGGCACATCCCACTGCCCGTCATCATCGGCTGGTACAAACAGACTGTCAAAGCGAATTGATGGTGGCGGTGGCTGCTGACTCTGAACATTAGTCTCTTTGACGCGGTTGGTTGTCCCAGTCAGCGGCCGAAGTGATCGACTGCGAGGAGGTGGCATCCGTTCGGTATTCGAGGCAGCATGGTTTTGAGAGACGTGCACAGGCGCTGGCGTTTGTCTTGCAGACAGCTCGGGAACGGCTGCTCGCGATGATGGGAAGTCCCCACTATCATCTTCGCCTGTCGTCATCAAGGTGAATTCGGTCCTGACCCCCTCGAAGTCATATGCAAGCTGCAGTGGTCTGCATGGGCGAGTATACCGAGCGGTGATCTGCACGCCTGTTGTCTCTGCATGGATTATAATCGCTTTGAAGTCCTTCAGAGTAATGGCAATATGAAGTTCATCTTCAGCCGAAAAGTCTTCAAAGTCTCTTTTATCGATAGCCACGGAAGTGTGTACTGGCTGTTTGAGGATTTCTGCAAGCAAACTAGTCAGTTTCAGTTGACCAACAGAGCTACTCAATGGTGCAGACCTTGCCCGTCAGTGATCTTCGTTGTAAAGCTCGTAAAGATGGCCTTGCCACCATCGGAGTAGATATCCAGTTGCTCTGCTGACGGACTAAAGTGGTCGGTAATTTCCTTCAAAAACCTGGGCTCAATGCTCCACTTATTAGTCGCGCTAGATCTGTCGAAGATGGCATGCTGAGCGGTAGTCGGCTCATAAGTGAGTTTGTAAGTCCTAATGACGCCTGCCGAGTCAAGAAAGCCATTCGATGAGTACTTTGGACCCCTGAGTGACAGAGACAGGCTGGGAAGACGCACCCAGTCCACAGATCATTCTAATGACGAGCCTACATTCTGTCTCCTCCAGATCTTCGTTGAGTTCAAACTCACACCGTTCGACCGCTGTGTCCTTATCTCGTCCAGCGGTTCTCCCTTTGAAGATGGACAGCAAAGCCTTTCTTAGTCAGCCTCACCACTCAATGCTCGTTTCTGGACGATTCTCACTTTGAGATAAATTTGGCAGCTGAATCTGTCCGAGCGGATATTTTCGCTCTGGCCATTATGACTGAATGAGTAAGTAGTGAAGAAACTTGCCCCGTCGAGGACGAATGCAGCATAGGCGGTCTTGCTGGAGTTGATGACGCTTAGTCGAAGCTACGGTTTTCGTCAGTTATTGTGACCCTCATTGAACTTCAGATAGTCCCGTATGATCTCACTAAAGCAGATTCAGCCTCTATAGAGACAGTCTCACTGAATTTGGCCAGACATAAAAGGGCATCGTGCACCCGCCCTAATGCCTCTGGGTTGAGTGAGAAAAACAACGATGTCATGTCCGTCTTTAGAGGGATCAAGACGCAAGATTCCAGTGTTCTCAAAATGTCATCATCCTATTGCTGAAAACCCCATAATAAGGATGTTTTTCGTTGTCGTTCCTCCTCATCGATTTGTTCAAACGCTCCAAGTCACGACGCGAGCTTACATAATCTGTGCCTGGAAGTAAGGCTTACCTCGACCGCAACACAGGGCAGCATCGACAGCAGGCAAGTCTTCCATTTTGAGCAATCTATTTGCATGTTGCGTCTGATCAGCGTTATTATTTGGAGTTTCGACGGAGACGGGTGAAAATCCGCCTTGAGTATGGCCTCGACGTTGCCTGGTGACATTATCTACCTCATCGTCGAGATCCTGGGACAAGAGAAGGACTTCAACAGCCTGTTCCAGTGTGCTGTGTCTGCGAAGTGTTTCACTGAGCAAGCTGTCACCGCTATATATAAGTTTGTTCATATATCTTACGTTATTCTCCTCTACAGATTTGCTGACCCTGGGAATACAGATCACACGAACTCTCTCCTGTTAGAGGCGGCGGGACTGAACTCGGCGTCCTGGACTCGACGTATACTCGACAAAAATGGGCGTCTATGTGGCGCTCTATTGTGCTTTCTGCTCTTGACCAAACCTATCTTCCGTATTACAGTTACATTCGGTACTTGGATCTCAATGATTTATCGAATCTCCTCAGCCATAGTTCGTTCACCGGGAAGATCAAAGAGTATGTTTCCCGGCGTCACTTGGGGGAACTGTATTTGACAAGATGTAGCGACTTCTTTACTCCGGAACTTCGGGATCTTGTGTCTCACGACTATGAGCCCAAGGGAAATAAGCGTCTTCGATCACTGCGGAATCTGCCTGACAATGATTGGATCTTATCCAAGATTGGTACTGGTCAGTCTCCTGCCGGATGCACCATCCAAGCTCCCTTGGATATGCAACCCCATTCATGGTTGTTCTTCTAAAAGCTAAGAAGATCAAAGCTATTATCAAAAGAACTACCTCGATACGCGGAATGTCATGCGACAGTAAGTGGGAAGTCCGAAATATCTAGCGAAACGGGCCTCTATTCCAGAAGCAAGTTTGACGTCTCGACTACTTCTAGTCGAACCTTCACTGTTGGCCGAGTGGCTGGGAGAACTCCCATTGTTACAGAATTTGACTATCTGGTCTGGAGTTTCTCTAACTGACCATGCCGGTGACAAAATTCGAACCCACTGCCCCGATTTCAAGCAAATCACGATATATAGATGGTAAGATATCAGTGTTGGTGTGCGGCAAAGCAGTATATTCACTGAGTTGCCCAGGATCGACGAACGAGGCCGAAATTCTGAGACTGATGCTGAGGAGTTTTTCCACGGACTCCAGCCTCACAGCCTTGAGTATTTCGAGATGCTGAGCTCTTGTCACTTAGGGCCACGCTCGATAAGAGCTATAGGCACGCAGTTGAAATCATTAAAAGAGCTGAAATTGACAAGCCTTGGGATTGAAGCAATTGCAGAGTTGCCTTCATTAACAGCGGCACCAGTGCTGGAGGTGCTTGTGTTGACCGATTCAATACCAGCAGCACGGAACGAAGACTTTTATTCCACAGTCAATCGAGTTGCTGATTGGATTGGTGGCTGCAAGGTCCTGCGGCACCTGGAGCTTAGAAGATTTGTTGATGACGCGTTTCTACTGGCTCGTGTTCTGGTTGCCCAGGATATTAAGCTGCTGGGTTTGTCTCTGACTGGGTACACAATGGCTGGCGGTCGTGACTTCCACAGAGCTTTGGCGTCTCAAGATTCCCTGCAACGTCTCAGTCTTCGAGGTGAAGGGTCCGAGATTCCCGAAGATAACGAGTTGCTTGTCCAAGCCATTTGCCAGCTACACACCTTGCAGGAACTCGAGCTCAAGGATATTTCCGATTATTTCACACCTGATCATCTACTGTCATTCACTCCATATCTCCCCCATTTGGAGAAATTGTGGATCGGAGGTGATCTCTTCAATGATGACGTACTGAATGCGTTTTTATGCCTTCCAAAGCTACGAAGTCTGGCCATCCATGCGCTCAGCGAGTTCACGGCTCAGGGTATACTCGATTTCATTTCGCAATTGGGGCCCGGTAACACAGGAATGAGTCTCTCGATTTTGAACTCAATAACACGTCTCACAGAGGAAGCACAGGGCTTAATCCGCGATATTTTGAGACATAATCTTGATGGGACCTTTGACTTCAGTCTTGCACAGGGTAAGCGCCAGCTCTCAGCCCGATAGATGATGCTAGCTGCTGACATGTGTGATGCAGAGGAATTCAGCGAGACCGATACGGAAGGGATGTCAGACTGATTGACGAGAATACACCCGCGAGCCCGCTCTGGAGCTAGAGTTTCCTTGGGGGTTCATATTTTTTGTTAAATAACCTAACTCTGTAGCTTTCAAAACACAGCAATATATCTGGCTTGGCTTCATGTGTTGAATGGTCTAGAACTACAATGATTTATGAATGTCTTAGGTTTTTGACACGGAGATGGGATTAGGGTGTAGGGCAAGATATATGGCCAATAGCCTCCAGTATCTTCGGGTTTAAGGAATCAGCACACTGGGTGATCTTTGACAGCCAGTTGCTCACATGCTACTGGAATCTGCCATCCAACACGGTGGAGCTGATGATATGACGAAACAAGAAGATTGTTTTGAAATTGGGTGACCTGGCTGATAGGATGGTAAAATGTGTACCAGAAGAATGGCAGGTAGAGTAATCGCATAAATTTTCCGCACAACACCACTGGTAGAACCTTGACATCATGGTCGATCAATACTGCTCTGATTTTTAGAGTCTATTAGTTTTGCGTTGACAGAAATTCAACAGAAATGAGCTTATCTCATTAGGATTGTGCCCAATAATTGTGGTTGGGGGTGGTTGGACCCGCGCATTCTGAAGGCTTCAGCAAACTGAATTCTTACCATCAACCCTTCATTTCTCCAAGTGACTGGACTATAACTTAGTATGTTTTCGCATCTGATTCATGGTCAAATAGAAATGGTGAGGCCACAAAGACTACACTTCTAGGGCTGAGTTGGTGAGCGGGCATGCCTGAGGCTGGTCATACATTCCTCACACTCCTCCAACCCAGCCTACCTCATCCCTCGGAACTTACATCTCACTTTGACTGCTAGCATTCCACGGCTATATATTTCTTCCAGTAGTCACTGATCCG